GCCTAATTTTTTCAAAAAGGCGTGCCATCAAAAGGCGTGCCCAATCCATAAAAAGGCGAGCCAGATATGATGTGAGGACAGTGAGTGCCTTGGCTGGCGCGCCCGTTTGTCGTCGGCGTCAGTGGGCGCGATACGCGTCTGGGCCTCGGCTATTTAACCAAGACGGAGGCTGAGGCTGAGGCAGAAGCTGAGACAGAAAAACCTGCGAAAATCCTTTGAAAAACCCTTTGTGTTCTGAGAGAGATACTCTGTAACACTCTGTTGCCAATCCTTCTCTGAAAGTACCAGCCGGAAATCGCTGCTTCGCTGAAACACACAGCAACCCAAAAACATGGCCTCTTCTTCTCGTCCAGTGACCCAGAACATGGCCTCCTCTTCCCGTGGTCTGCTCACGTTCTTTCCAGACCTCAACGAGTCAACAAGAGAGATAACTGGTGCGGTGGCACGGGAACCTCAACCAAGCGCCCCGGAGTTTGCTCCGTTGAACTTTCCGATGTGGTCGGTGGAGCAAAAAATGGCGGTGCAAACTGATATTGAGGCCAATCAGTATACTTTGAAGTCATGTGTGGAGACCATGACTGCGGTCACAAACTTGTCGCACCGGCTGCAGAGTAGGACAAATGAGGTGCAGCAGTTAAACGCCCAACTGGCTCTGCTCCAACGCATGTATAAGGATGCGCGAGCAGAGATAAGTGTGCTAAAGGCGGAAAACAAGGAGCTGAAGCGGAAGGCCACCGTTATGTTCCGATTTGGAGGGCCGCCATATGCTGTAGTAGAGGAGCAGGGGGGAGTGAACGTGCTCGGTGGTGTGGGAAACACGGAGGCAGCATCGTCAAAGGCCGCCCAGGACGGAGGCAAGAAGAAAAGACCGACGGAATAGGCGAAGAAGTGATGTCGGAGGGTGGCCGTCTGCAGAAAAGAAAACAAAGCTTATGGTGTTGTGTTTTTTTTTTTTTGGTGTAAAATTGTGATCGGGGTGGATCCCTGAGAGAAATAAAATATGGGTTGTTGTGCAAAGTTGGAAATTTTTTTTTTGAAAAGAAGGGAATCGAAAATAAATAAATAAATAAATAAGGGGCTGGTGATGAAATGATGAGCATGGGGATGATGAATATATAATGATGAAGAAAAATAATAAAGGTGGGAGTGGGGAACAGACTGTTAATGGGTTCTGAAACGGTGGGATGAAAAAGAAAAAAAATATATATAATAATAATAATAATAATAATAATAATAATAATAAGAAGAAAAAAAAATGGGTCAAAGTGGGAGTGTGTGAAGAATTATTATTCTAGAGGATGGTGGAAATATATTGGGGGAAATATATTATAATAAAAAAATATATATATATATATTAAAAGAAAAGAAAAGTGGGAAATCACGTGGGTGTTGTGTGTGTGTGTGGGTGGCCCTTTTCCCTCTGCTGCTGATATGTTTTTATGTTATTTTATGAGGGTGTCCTTGAGTGGAGAGAGACAGTAGGAGCAGGGAAGTAGACAAGCATGAAATCTGCAATAATGGCCATCACCACGTCCGCAAAAAAACAAATTCCAGCTCCTTAAAAAAAAATTTCCTTGTCGCTTTTGATACGCTGCAGCAGTCTTGGTGAAGAGCCCAACACCACACTCCATGAATACTTTGAACAAGAACAGATCATCAGCCAGGAGAGAGAACAACTCCCTCGAGAGAGAGAGTTTCCACTGTATGTTCTGATTCAAGCCTAGAGGCTAGACTGTTGGATAATGGTGGCAGCCCCAACCATCCAACAGCAACTGGTGCAGACCAGCAGATTGTAAATGGAAGGCAGTCTGCATTCGATGGTGCCACAGCTACAGCTGCTGGAGTCCTTGCACACCATCAGCGCTCAGTCGTCTCAAAAGAAAAGATCCAAAATCTTGTAGCAATGGGTTTTGAAAGGACACAGGTAGAAGTTGCAGTGGCAGCTGCAGATGGGGATTTAAATGTAGCGGTGGAAATTGAAGCTTGAATAATCAGCTTAGGGTATGATGAGATATCACCGCTTATTTATAAATGTAGATTAGGGTTTACAAACAAGACAATTACAAGATGATCCCTGAGGACATAACAATGATTACAAACCATAGTGCCTTTCGGCTAATAAAATACTACGTGACTTTCGGTGATTATAATATGCCAACACTCCCCCTCAAGCTGGTGCGAAGATATCTCTCATGCCCAGCTTGCCTAATATGTCATGAAACGGTTTATTCCCAATTCCCTTGGTGAGAATGTCAGCAAGTTGTTCACCAGACTGAACAAAAGGAGTACAAATGGTACCACTAGTGAGTTTCTCCTTAATGAAGTGGCGATCAATCTCAACATGTTTTGTCCTGTCATGTTGAACTGGATTGTGAGCAATGTTGATGGCGGCCTTATTATCACAATATAACCGCATGGAGTCCGTCTAAACAATACCTAGATCACTCAACAATAATTTGATCCATAAAAGTTCACACACACCTTGTGCCATAGCTCTAAACTCAGCTTCTGCACTTGACCTGGCAACCACATTTTGTTTCTTACTCCTCCAAGTAACTAGGTTGCCGCCGACAAATGTGCAATACCTGAAGTTGATCTCCTATCAGTTACTGACCCAGCCCAGTCAGCATCTGTATAGGCTTCTACACGAAGGTGATCATACTTTGAAAAATACAGACCCTTACCAGGAGCAGACTTCAAATACCTCAAGATTCTCATGACAGCCTCAAAGTGAATCTGATGAGGAGCATGCATAAACTGACTAACTACACTGACAGCAACAGCAATATCAGGACGGGAGTGAGATAGGTAAATGAGCTTACCCACTAATCGTTGATAGCTCCCCCTATCCACAACTTCTCCTCCTTCATCATCTCCCAATTTTTGATTGGGTTCCAGTGGGGTGGCACATGCCTTGCAGCCAAGCATCCCAGTTTCCTTCAACAGGTCAAGCACATATTTTCTCTGTGAGATAAATATCCCATCCTTAGAGCGAGCAACTTCAATTCCCAGAAAATACTTCAAGCTTCCCAAGTCTTTGATTTCAAACTTTTTGGCTAAGTATTTCTTCAACAGAGGTATTTCCCCACTATCATTGCCTGTAAGAACTATGTCATCTACATAAACAATAAGTGCTGTAGTCTTACTGCATGAGGAATGTTTCACAAACAATGTGTGATCTGCCTGACTTTGTTTGAAACCATATTTAAACATAGCCTGAGTGAATCTTTCAAACCAAGCCCTTGGAGACTGTTTGAGACCATATAATGACTTCTGAAGTTTGCATACTTTCCCTTCTGTTTGATGATCCTCAAAACCCAGAGGAATGTCCATATATACTTCTTCTTCGAGGTCACCATGGAGAAAAACATTCTTGACATCAAACTGATAAAGCGGCCAATCTAGATTAGCTGCGAGAGAGAGAAGTACTCTGACTGAATTCATTTTAGCCACGGGTGCGAAGGTCTCCTGATAATCAATGCCATATGTCTGAGTAAACCCTTTTGCCACAAGTCTTGCCTTGTAACGCTCAATAGACCCATCTGCTTTGTGTTTCACAGTATATACCCATTTACAGCCAAAGGTCGTTTGCCCGTAGGTAACTCAGTCAATTCCCAAGTGCCATTCTTCCTAAGTGCTTTCATTTCCTCAATCATGGCTACTTTCCACTCAGAGGTAGCAAGAGCATCCTGAAAATGGTTAGGAATGCTAACAGAGGAAATATTGGACACAAACGCTCTATATGAGGATGACAAATGAGAGTATGATACAAACTGTGAGATAGGATGTTGAGTACAAGATCTCACACCCTCCTTTTGGCAATAGGAACATCAAGATCAATGGACTCACGAGATTCAAAGTTACCTAGACTCTCATCAGAAGCAGGAGATGGCAGTGGAGTAGCAGAAACGGTCCCTTGTATCCAGTTAACTTGTTTTCTGTCGATGTCCCGGACATAAACATGCCCATCCTTATTCTTGGTGGTGACAGTGGGTTCTATAGTTCCAGTAGAAGAGGGGGGTGCAAGAACAACTGGTTCTACCATAGGAGGCACAGGACTCACTTCTACCATAGGAGACACAGGACTCACTTCACACCAAGGTTCCCCCGGAAATGAGGACGGTGACACCGGAGAGGACTGGGACTCAAAGCAATAGGAACTGGGACTCAAGAAAAGTGACATCCATGGACACAACCACTTACGAGAAGAAGGTTGGTAACATTTATACCCCTTTTGAGTAAGAGAATAACCAAGGAAAACACACTTGAGGGAGCGAGGGTCCAACTTACCACGAGAGGGAGAGTGATTATGATCAAAACAGACACAACCAAATATTTGGGAGAATAGAAAACAAAGGAATGAGAACCGAGGAGGACGTGAAGCGGAGCCTGTTTGTCAAGACCTGGGTAGGGAGACGATTAATAAGATGGGCAGCGGTGAGAACAGCGTCGCCCCAATAGGGTTGAGCACGTTCAATAAAAAACACATGCACCGAGCCATGTCAAGAAGATGCCGATTCTTGCGTTCGGCCACCCCATTTTGTTGAGGGGTATTGGTGCAAGAGGTCTGATGGATAATGCCATGAGTAGAGAAATATTGTCCTAACCAGGAATCTATGTATTCCCCGCCATTATCAGAACGAAATATTTTGATAGTGGCCCCAAACTGAGTACAAATCATTTTATGAAAGTGCGAAACACAGAGAAAACTTCACTCTTATCTTTCATGAGATACACCCAAGTAGCAACGAGAAAAATCATCAATAAATGTAACAAACCAGCGATGACCTTTCACAGACAGAACACGAGAGGACCCCAAACCAAGAATGTATTAATGAAAAAGGAACTAAGCTTTTTATTCAAACTGGGAGCAAAAGAAGCTCTATGTTGTTTTTCCAAGTTGACAAGACTCACAAAGAAAGTCAGACACATGATTGATTGCGAAACTAGAAGGAAATAAATGCTTAAGTAAATGAAATGAGGGATGCCCAAGACGCCGATGCCACAACCATACATCAGCGGGGGTAGTAGAAGACGTGGTGGAAGAATAAGCAAGTTTGTCCGGTTAGATCTAAGAAGTAGAGACCATTTTCTGCACTACCACTGCCAATCGTCCTCCCCGTGACAAGGTCCTGAAAAAGACAATGATCAGGAAAAAACGTCACACAACAATTCAAATCCTGGGTAAGACGACTTAAGGATAACAGATTAACAGAAAACTTGGGAACATGGAGAACAGAAGATAGATGCATGGTAGGAGTGACTTGGACTAAACCTTTTCCAGAAATGGAAGAAACAGTTCCATCGGCAATCCTAACTTTGTCCTGACCTGAAGAGGGCTTATAGGCAGAGAAAAGATCAGAGGAGCCAGACATATGATCTGAGCACCAGAATCAATAATCCAAGGCAAAGATGTATGACACAGGAAAGCACAAGGAACAGATGCTAAGTTACCTGAGCGGGCAAAGGACGAGGAAGCGGTACTGAGAGCAGTAGAAGATCGGCGGTCCAACAATTGGCGCAAAGCATCCTCCAGCTCAGTATCAGAAGCTTGGGTAACAGAAGTAGAATTAGAATCAAGGGTATCAACGGCACTAGACTGATGAGCCCGGGAAATAGGAACCACGTCCTCGAGGTGGCCTGACCGACCTCCGCTCGAGAACCTGACCGATCACCTCGACCCCCAGATGGAGTCCCATGAAGCTTCCAACATGTCTCACGAGTATGCGCGGCTTCTGCAATATCACAGAATACAGGACTCCTTAGCAGCAGACGGAGGAGGCAAGGCTGAGGCCATCTGAGGAGTGACAATAATGCGGAACGGTCAGTAGAGACAGGGGACATCATAGCTGACCGATCGACTCTCCTCATTTTGTACATAGGCAAGTGGCCTCCTGTAGTGAAGGAAGGGTGTCCATACTCAGAACTCGACCCCTAACTGGATCATACTCCATATTTAGGCCGGCCAAAAATTTAAAAGACCCGTTCCCGATTTGTTTTTCTATTCGAGAGTGTATTTGTTCTTAAATGGTCATTTGTGGTTCAGTTAATAGTCATACATGTTAGCTCTTTCTTTCTTGAAATAGAATGGCAGCACCGAGGGTGAAGTGCTAAGTTGGATAAAACCTTCTTTCTTAAATTCTTGAAAGTTGGATTTAGTTTTTGTAAATTTAGAGGTTTGAAATTCTGGTCATGGGGTTTTGAATAATAGGTTGTGTCCCTAGGTATTACTAATGGTGAATTCTATTTCTCTATCTATCAGATCTTTGGGCAATAAATCATTCGGAACACATATAAAATTCATTGACGACAGATGTTTCTACATTAGTACTTATGATGGGCTCGACCAATAACAACCAAATATCCCCGGTACCTTTCTGTAAACAATTTACAGATTTCATAGGAAGAAATCAAATATAAAGGAGGCTATACATTTCCCAAAAATAAACTCAACAAACCGGGTCGAAATGCAACGAATTTATTTACCAATCAATGGTAGCACAATATTGGACAATAGACCCAAAATCAATAAAGTGAGTAATGTCTAGGGCAGTGAAATCAACCATTTAGATAATCTCCCAATCATGATGTCAACACACAGATACGTGGGATACTCCAGATAGTGGGAATATGACTAAGGTGTGTTAGTGGTCTAGTTCCAATTTTTCTGAAGAAAAAGCAGTACCAACATGAATGAATACGTGGATTACTAAGAGTCTATCACGGATGCCAACAATGAACTTCTTTAGTTGCATTTTGGCATAATTAGAGTTAACCTAAACCCATAGATTCCACGTGTTTCTTGGACGTCTGCATACCGGTAAGAAAACCGCTCTCCTCGCTCAGTTTATTGGGTGTGGTTAGTTAGTACTTGATGTTCTTAGGGTAGTGATAGAAAGGAGAATTGTGAAATTGCTAACGAGGCTTAGGAAGTTGTGTTGGATCCAAACAGATAATCTTTTACAGGCAATGGACGGTGGCTAGCCGTTTGGTTGACCGAAAAATGCACCAGAGTGTACGATAACCAGATCTACCCTTATGTTTTCTTTCACATTCCAAGAACGGCGGGTACTCAGAGATACTACAATACTTTATGGGTCGACAGGCGTGCTCTTGAATGTATTGGGCTTCGAGAAGCGTTGTTCCAGAGCAAGACTGTTCGGTGGTGATTTTGGCTTGAGGAAATCTTTATGTGAATACGAAGTGATACTTGAAGATAGGCAGAACCAGTCTGACTTGAACAGCGGTCCACTTATTTCTGAAATTGTAACACAAGAATGTTTAATTTCTCTATTCCTCGTCGTCAGGAGCTTTTAGTTTGGTTTACAAGTTAAGCGGGATGCTCCTCCCAAGGATTAGTTCTCCTAGAGCGATAAGCGCTTGGATGCACACAATCTTCAATGCATATCGACACTCATAATTGAAAACTTAAGAAGTAAGTATTTCTCCTTCAATGTTACGCCTAGTTAGACTAGGGATAATAGTGCGCAAATGGACACTATTCCAAAGGGTTAAGACGTGCCCTTCAAAATATTTTGGGTCCTTATTTTTAATCACGGATATCCACTCATTAGTATGAGTGAACCGTGATGCGCAGATTCGGTATCTTGGCTCATACTCCAGCTAAGTTGACATATTGCTTGCTTGAGCTCTGTCGTTCAGAATGTGCAGGACATCTTTATATGTCGGAAGCATTAAGGAAGAATTTTTCATAGGCATATTTTTCCTTGAATTGGCTCATGGTGTTATAGTGCCTGTTGTCATTTACGATATTAACATCTAATTTGAACCACCTGGCACGTCTAGCTTCTTCTTGTTAGGATATAATGTTGCTAACGAAACCTTTTGAGTTTCGAAACAGGTAATACTTCAAATAAACTTTTCCAATTCTCACAATCCATGTCTCACTTTTTAATGGCTTCATCTCCAACCGCAGAAATGAGATGAGCAGTTCATACCTTTGTAAATTTGCGAAGTCAAGCGTGAGATAATGTCGGTGTCTCATAACCGTGGGTTTCGCTGCTAGGTTGGGGGGAAGGGTGCGGAGGAGGTATGAGGTGTTGTCCGAGTTATGTTGCTTGTCTCATCTCGCTTCTCTGATTTAAAGCTTCAGCATTTGTTCATTCGAGGCAAGTAGCTTATGCAGTCTCAGCAGGCTATTAGTTACTGCGTCATTGCCTTTATCATAGATTTCACTCTGGTATATTCACTCACAATCGTAAATAGAGGGACTGAAAATTAAATCACAAATGAGATAATTCTTTATAGTAGTTCAATTTTAGTTCATTTCATTTTTGTGTAATGTCTACTGGTTTTGATATGTCACATGGATGTTAGACACTCACACATGCAGATGGTAACTCCGGCACACCCTATATATCTTTCTAAGAGACATCTTACATAAGCTCATATAAGAGAGCGTGTGTTTGGGTTAGAGTATATAACGTGTTCTTGATACCCACTTTATATCACCAAAATTCCATACCCACCTATGAAGTTTAGCAATCTCAATACAACTACAAGCTACGGTAACCTACAGATTATGAGTCAGTGGTAGCTAGGGCTTTGAACGATAAGATAAGAATGGCGGGGATCGCTAAGCAGAAGCTAAAGTATCAAAGACTTAGAAGAGGGGCGTCCATATAGATATGTCATATGACGTACATGAGAATCGAACACTTAAAACTTAATTTACATATTTTAAGCGCGTCATTCTCACGTCACAATTATATATACAGACAAACAAAAGAGCATGTGTTCAACTTAACCAAAAGAAAATACAAAAGACTTAACATGGTCCACAAAAAATATCGACCATTTCTTAAATATAGATACCTCTTCTGGAGGCACAGGTGGCTGGAAGACAGATACGAACTTCTAAGCAATCATCTCGTGAACATGGTCACGTGCCTGTCACCTACATACTAGTATGTGGAGTTGGAGTCCTCACAGGAACATAATAACAGATTCATATTCTATACTTAGATCTCAAAGATAATTTATACATGGTACACCTTCGCACCTAGTGCGTGAACAGACACTGATTGGCTCTCTAATTGCTGCTGAAGATAGAATAATCGCACACTAGATACAAAGTCACAGCAGAACTTAATTAGAAACAGGATCAATCCCGGTTATGCTAAATCAGGTCTCCAGATGGATCGAAACGTAATAG